TCTTGTATAAATTATAAAAAAAATATGGATACATTATTAAACTACAAAGAAAGCAGCATGAATGCTTGAATTCTGGTTAGAGATTTACCAGGTTCGTGATAATAATAACTTTTTTTTAAACCTATATGCATAAGGGTGTATTAATAAATCACAAAATTATTAATAAGATAATGTTATTAAAAGTTTGCTGAAGATGATTAAATAAATTGTGATTTGCATTTTACCATCTACACTGTATTCTTAAAGTACCTACATTAAATTTCACAACAATCAATCCAGTAAACCGACAAATGGAAACGGGTGACCTATCAGAGTCCACGAGCTATGAAACGTTGAGAAAACATGAAATAAGCTGGTCGGAAAATGGTTCTTATAATACATAGTTCCCTAATTTTTGCTTGGGAAGTAAAAATCTACATTTACATTGTAACCTACAAAAAGAAGGGCTTAAAGTTATTTGTACAGAACTTCCTTCACCCCTGAAATATAGTCAAACAAACCCATCTTCTTTAAAAAATTATAAAACTTAATTTTACCATTGTTTTTATTTTATGACAATCCCTATGTGTTAAAAAATTGATCATACGTTATTTAGATAGTTTTTTTTTGTGATAACCGTTATTAATTAAAAACACATAATAAGAGTCACAGTTTAAAAAAAGCACCATGAGCGGTTCGAACACGCAACCTTCGTTTTAGAAGAAATATGATTCCCGTATCGCTTGTACCGGTAATTCAGTTTGGATTGTTTTGCAAAAGTTTGGATGCCTAGGGTAAAATTCAATGCGGATTCATAAACCACAAGTACAAGAGTATGATCAAACTAATGTTGGTTAGTGTTTTAACATATACACAATATTCCTAATATACCTACATACAAAATTATGTTCGGAGATTATCTGTCTAATTAAAATCGACAAAGACAAATAGACGGCAGACAAACATATGAAAACTGGAGACCGGGATGTAAAAAAAAATCTTAACCTGATATTACGACTTATTTTATATGTGTCACGAATACAACTTACTTGTTTTTTGTGTTTTTTGAACACTTTAACTTTCACACCACGTGTGTTCAATGTTTAAAGTTTGTTGATATTGTATGTCATGTTTAGAAAAACCCAGAAATCCAGATATTCGCGTCATTTTGTTCTATTGTAAATTTCGGAAGTTCCCCTCTTCCAGAATTGGATGGACCTTTTGAAATATTAGAACACATATATGAATAAATTTTAAAATGTGTGTACGAAGATTGCAATGTTCAGGCATGAAACTTTTCTGTGATTTTAAATTTAGAATGTCAGCACAAGACTTTTCTTTATGTTTCCTTACTTGACCCAAAACATTTTTACCGTTAGGTTTAAGACCACCCGAGCTGGATAACTGATCTTCTATATTTATATTTCCATAATTTTCCATATTATAAATTATAACTAACTATAACTAATTTATAATTGCGAAGCTCTTATTTTGTTCAGTTGATTTATCGTTTTAAAACAAAGGCTTCATTAGTTAGTTCACTCAACAATTGAAAAATTAAAATTAAAAGAAAAAGAGAAATTTGCTATGCAAGCACACTTCGAGCGTGGTGACCTCTAAAGATATATACAGGGACAAACGGTTTACAACAAAAGGACATCAAGCTAAAGTTAAAATCAGTTTGTTTTTAGAGTTGTTAAACAACGTTTGTCCATGGGAAGCAAAACTAGGCAAAAACATGTTTGGTACCACTAGTACCAACCCCCGTTTTACACATCCACCATTTTTTACTGTTAGCAAGCAATGCATATTTCAAAGACTCTCTCTCTCGTCTGTTTGTAACCGTCAACAAATAAACATCGATACATTAATTATCAGTCGTATTTTTTGAGATATACTCGTACCTTCGTACAACCTGTGAAAAATTAAAAAAAGTTTTCGAACACAAAGTGTTATTTGTTATAGAAATCATCTGACTACAACATGTACAACGTAGTCTAAAAGTTCGGTGTACACGAAACATGTTTATTGAACCAAGACTCCCAGCACGATGTTGGACAGAGGAGCAACTGTAGCAAACTAGCAAATGAACAGATATATCTCAAATTAGAAAAATTTTGATATGAATCTGACGAAACATGAAGTGGTGTAAAAACCTGTTATATAAGAATACATAAAAAAAAACTATCAAATGGTCACACATAAATTCGGCGAAACAAGAAAGCTTGAAGCTCAAATAAAAAACTAAAAAAAAATATTGACTTCTTTGCAGGAAACGAAATTTTTGATGGAAAGCAATACAATAGAAATATGTGGACCTGTTTACATAATTTTATAATGCATTTGGTTTTCTGGTTGATACACCTTTATGTAGAAAAATATTGAATAAGAACTGACTTGCAATCAGTTTAACATTTACAATTACATATAACAAGGTTGTCATTAGTAGGTCAGACTACATATCTTACAGAGAATAAACACAGCTACCCAAAAATATTTCACTAGTTAATTTTTGTTAGAACATCTATTTTGAATGAAAGATTTGTGCCCTTTCTAGGATTTTACTGTCACAATTTCCTCAGATGGTATAATTCAGATTTTGTCCTATCAATTTTTTAGTTGTTTTTTGATACAGTTGAAAAAGTTTTGGAAACATATAGATAAGAATCCATAAATTAATTGTCCTTAATCATACCAACAAAAATGTACAGTTCTACACTGTTAACCAATGATAAGAAAAAAAATGAAAACAGATACAAATTTGTCTTTTCCCTTTACTCGACATAACTTGGCACGTACCGAGAATTTGACAGTTTAATTACACTATGCAACACTAAAAAATTCACAGAAAGTTCAGATAGTGTTTGAGGTTGGGTATACTCCATATACTAAAGAAAAAAATGTTTTATACTCATATCACATCACAAAACATAGATAACGGGTGTTTTGTTTTTCGTACTTTTTGAGACACTTGATTGCATTTAATTGTAAACATATCGCTTTTATGTATCCACCCATGCTTGCAGACTTCTGTTGGTGTCTTCAGAGGGATACTGCGAGATCTGGCTACAATAGGAATGCCAATCGTTCGAAAAAAAAGACCTTTTTCAATGAAAAATGAAGTATTGTTTTATTAATTTTGTATGATTTCAAAAAATTCAATAAACACTTTTCATTTTGAAACCTGATGTGATAGGTTGGGTACCTATACTCCATATACTAAAGAAAAAAAATGTTTTATGCCCATATCACATCACAAAATATAGATAACGGGTGTTTTGTTTTTATTACTTTTTGGGACACTTGATTGCAGTTAATCGTAAAAATATCGCTTTTATGTATCCACCCATGCTTGTAGACTTCTGTTGGTGTCTTCAGAGGGATACTGTGAGATCTGGCTACAATAGGAATGCCAATCGTTCGAAAAAAAAAGACATTTTTCAATGAAAAATGAAGTATTGTTTTATTAATTTTGTATGATTTCAAAAAATTGAATAAACACTTGTCATTTTGAAACCTGATGTGATAGGTTGGGTACCTATACTCCATATACTAAAGAAAAAAATGTTTTATACCCATATCACGTCAGAAAACATAGATAACGGGTGTTTTGTTTTTCGTACTTTTTGGGACACTTGATTGTAGTTAATCGTAAAAATATCGCTTTTATGTAACCACCCATGCTTGCAGACTTCTGTTGGTGTCTTCAGAGGAATACTGTGAGATCTGGCTACAATAGGAATGCCAATCGTTCAAAAAAACAGACCTTTTTCAATGAAAAATGAAGTTTTGTTTTATTAATTTTGTACGATTTCAAAAAATTCAATAAACACTGTTCATTTTGAAACCTGATGTGATACGATTCTTTCAAGCATAATCCTCAATTGAGTTTGAGGTAAGAAATTTTAACTACATACTGTACATTCTGTGAATTTTATTTTTTTTTAATTTGTTGCATAGTGTTATAATTCTTGTACGAATAGAAACTAATTTTGTTTAGTGATTCATTGGTGGGACAGTTTTGTCAGTTTTATAAAAACATCCCCTGATTTTGAAGAAAAAACAATGCAAATGTTTTAATTTTTCATCCCCTTTGTAAGGTGTCATATATATATTCCATTACTGAACAGGGTGTTTCAACAAATTAACTTATGAATGGATTTATTTAATTAACTAAACATCTAAGAAGATAAGCATTTCAACATTACCTAGTAATAGTAATATTACTCTGTACACATAAGAATTAACATAGGTACATATTTATATTATGATTAAAAAGTTGATGGCAACATCTGAAAAGTTATTAAATAAATCTTTACTAGAAAGACGTCTTGAAGTGCATAATATATGTCGATAAGTCTCAGTAGTCAGCTGCATATGTAATAGTTTCTTTCACATAAAACTAAGAAAAAAATGAATACAAATCTCAAAATTTTAAACGAAATTCGCTCTCTATATTCTTTTTATGTTTGTGGTTGCGACCTAAGTTTAATAAAGTAGGTATATATCTATTTTTATCAATATAATAATAAAATATATACGGGTTTCACCAAAAAGGGAAAAATATGCAAAATGATTTCAAGTATGCAAAATTTTTAAATATTTAAACTATTTTGAAAATAAAACGCTCCTATATTTTGTTTTTTAATAAAACCAGTCATATTGTTTTTATTTTAGTAATATTTAAAATTTCACTAAAAATACAATTATATTTATTAAAAAAATACGAATGACATGTGAACAATTAAGCATTCACCGCACCTCTTGACAGCATTAAAAATCCACGGCTCTATGAGTCAATACTTGTTTTTAACCTTGTACATACAATCATAATTTTAATCTCTCCTTAATGGCGCCGGACTGTACGCACACTCTCATAAAATTACATCCTTCGAGTGCAGTTCTCCGTATAGCACAAACAAATCTATCAGAAACCTTTCCAAGTACTTTCTTTTCCTACACAATAGATAAATTGGCGTGGGTGTAAATCTACTAAACTAAACCATTTCCCTTATTTCTAGGGCACCGAAAATGAACGAATCCTTCTAACGACCGCAAGAGATACCTCTGCGAAGAATATTAATTTCCCCGACATCCGGCTCTCTGACGGTCCAACGATTTTGGCAGGCCGAGTACAACTACGTCACAATGGTCGTTGGCGCAGCGTGTGCACCAATTCCAAGAAGTAAGTCACATATTTGTCGTTCGTTATATTCATATTCAAATTTAGTTGGACGCGTGCCGATATGGAAACGGCATGCAGACAACTCGGCTTTCAGGGAGGAGCTTTTTTCAATTGGATTGATAGAGAAATGCCGCTGAAACCACGACTTCTATACGAAGAACCAAAATGTATGGGAACCGAAAACTCTTTACTCGAATGTCAGTGGAATACAAGACAAATGGGATCGGGGGTGTGCGATTACCATCCAGATCTCGCTATACAGTGTGCGCCGAGACATGATCAAACGTTACCCTTCTGGAGAGGAATTAAGTTCGAAGATGCGAAGTATAGTAAAGTTTTGACTTTATCGAACACTTTGTATGTGCCTACGTCCAAGTCTAAGTTACATTTCATTCAAATTCTTTACGCGGGGGCTGGGAGAAATCAAAACACTACCAGTGCTGTGGAAGTGGAAGGCGTGCCACCAGGGATGAATCAGCTTGAAATTATAAGTTCGGCATATAATGGTATTAATGTTACTAGGCCTGAGGGTCCGATAACTTTAAACAACTGCACCCTACGTAACAATCGAGGTTATGGTATTTTCGTCAATTCTAGTTACGGTTTAACTCACATCGACGGATGCATTATCAATGAAAATGGTGGTGATGGTATCAGATATGTCCGAGCTGATGAAAGATTAGAAGAAAAAAGCGATAGGTCGGGTTATAACGATTTCTGTAATCTCGCCATGGTCTCTAGCCAAACTTTTCCCTTGCAGTTGTACGCCGAACAAACGATTTTTGTCAATCAAATGAAATCTTGTGATAAAGTTTTCACCACTCGTTTAGGCAATGTTATAACTTTAACCATACTCCGTGCCGTTACAAATCTAAACGACAGCGCAACTGTAGAAATATACGACGGTTCTGCTCTAAATCATAGACTCTTAACAACGTTCTCCATTCGAAATAACACAAGACCTCAGTCTCTGACTAGCATCGGTCATCAGATTTTTGTCAAATTCAAAGCAGACGCCCGAACAGATACTGCTATCTTCATGCGTTTGCTCTCTGGTTTGAACAAAGGCTACGATTTAAACGTGAGCTATTCAGATATTTCTGAAAATTCAGGACGAGGAATTGCTGTTGATAATTTACGATCGCAAGTTCATGTTTATAAAAGTTCTATATCTAAGAACCAACACGTAGCGGGGCTTCATGTTACTAGTGGCGTTGGAGACATCAATGTTACTGAGAGCCGAATTTCGTTCAATGAAGGTGACGGTATCAACATCACTTACACCGGAGGGAGCAGAAATATTTCTAAGTCTGGCATTAGTTCAAATTCCGGTTATGGCGTAGCAATTTGGTTGAACAACACAAAAGAAACTGAATTTTTGATAGTCAACCAAACAACCGTTGTGCAGTACTCAGAGATCTACAAAAATCTAGACACCGGAATTCTTCACGGAAACTTCTGCGGGGAATCCTTCTTCAATTTCACAGGGAACAGCTTCAAGAACAGTTTGAATGATGCTTTGGAAATATTGACGTGTTGGAGAATGAGCAAAGCATCCACGAAACTCCAGATTGGACATAACGAATTTATTAGTAACAATAGAATAGGTTTGCGAATTACGCCAGCCTTGAATCTGGATGCCAAAATTGAATACAACCATTTCCGTCAAGGATCTTTTGGTTCAGTTTTAATTAAAAACAAACCCTTAGAGGAATTTAATATTTTACAAACAAAAATAGAAATCGTCCAGAACTACTTCATCAACAATTCTGGTACCTTTGTTGCAAACTTGGCTCTTTCGCCATACGCTCAAGATCAGTTCCTTCTTTTCACGCGCAATTTCGTGAAAAATAACCGAATTGCCGAACCCTTCCAACCAGAAGATGGTTCTATTTCTATTTTGAATCCTAGAGGTCGAGTAGCAGCTCCCATTGTTGTTGGTTCCGATAATGTTGACGTGTTTAGGAACATCATTGAAAATCCTTTTTCTAAATATGAAATTGGGAGTCACCTCGAAGACCAAAGTAAATCTATCAACTGTACGTACAACTGGCTAGGTTACAGCTTAGACGAAAGTGTACTACCTCGACTGTTTCACCGTTTTGACAGATATAATTTAGCCAAAATCAACTTTAGCCCTTTTCTTCTACACAATTCAAACCCTTCAACTACTAAAATAAATAATAATCAGTTTTACGTGCCTAAATTCATTAACGCAGACTCTGATAAAGTTGGTGGAGAAGTGGAAGGAGAAGAAACTCTATCACGAGGAGTATACATAGTGGAAAAGGATATCAACATTCGCCCTGGTGGTAAACTAACAATAGAATCCGGAGTCACTTTAAGATTCCCTCCGTCAATAGGAATGATGGTTGGCGGGAAACTGGAAGCTCGCGGTATAGAACCAAACAGCATCAAATTTACATTGAAAGAAGAAATCGTGCATCCACCAGATAACGAAACACTCGAAATGGAAACGGAGAAATACGACTCAGAAACCGAAATTATTCAAATAGAACCGAAAGTTCCTATTAGGTTGCTGGGTGGAGCAACTGAAAATGAAGGGCGTTTACAAGTGAAAATTGACCAACAGTGGGGTACTGTGTGCAATTATGGGTGGACCATTAAAAATGCAGCTTTAGTGTGTCAACAATTAGGGTATGTGTTAAACCCTGAAGACTGGTACTTAGAACGTAACGAAATTCCTTCTGCTGGTACTACAGAAGACGTAATTTTGTCTAATGTGCAATGTGAAGACTTTGACTTAGATATAACTAAATGTAAAGCTGAAACTAAAGGCAACTTTGAGAATTCGTGTACACACGAAAACGACGTGGGTATAAGATGTTATAAGTCGTCATGGGCGGGTGTTAGATTTGGAGCTTTGGCTGAAAGAAGTAACATTCAATATGTTACCATCGAAATGGCGGGCTTGTTGGATTATGCAACTAGTACTTTTAAACCGGCTCTACAGATTGATTTCGCCAGACACAATTTTGAGAACATACGTATTTCTAATAACTACCATCACGGGCTGGGCGTTCTGTATGCAGATATCTTCACGGACGATGCAGTCAACAGAATAAAAAATTCGGAATTTTCGAGTAACAGGGGTGCCGGGATTAATTTGGTACAACTGGGTTTCAATATTTTTGGCAGCTCCATCGAGAACAATTTTATAGGTGTCAAACACGATCCTATTCTCACTGGTTTGCAACAGAGGGAGTTTGCGGGATGGTTCTTGAAAACTGAAGATAACACCCACTATAAACCCATCATGATTCCGTATACTTCCGATCAAAACAGCATACGAGTAGAACGGGGGGAAACCAAGTATTTAGTAACATCTAGAGTACTAGGAGACAGCATTTCTAAAATATATAGATTCACGAGTGACCCTGGATGGGTGATCGGAATTCAACTACTGAACCCTATAGAGAATCGCAGTACCGAAAATATAGAAATCCAAGACGCTATTTCGTACAACAAAAAATCCACAACATGGGTTTTAAAAAGGGACCTTACAGTCTTTCCCACAACTTCTAGTAGTCACGGTATAATTTTGGAATACACGAGCGGGAATTACGCCTACGGTGGTACTGTTCTAGTCATAAGCACAATCAAAGCTCCCGTTCAAAACGTTTACAAGAGAATTGTAAAAGGCCCCGTTCCTACCGTCACTCTTCTTAATTCGAAAATTAGAAACAATCAGTTTGGTCTACACGCTTCATATTATAACCGATATTTAGACGAATTAGGTAATCATTTTTTGAGGAAAGCAAATGAAAGTTTCCAGTTTATTAACTGTGAAATTTCCCATAATCAAAACGAAGCCATCTTTGTTCATTCGCCTCACTGGGATTTACATCGAAGCAACATTTCGGAAATCGTGATAATGATAAATAATTCACTAATTACGGACAATGGGAAAGGCTTTTATCATTTCTCTAGAGATATGAGGTCATCGAATAACATCTTCCACTACGTGCTGCAAGATGACACCGTGGAAAGGAACAAAGCCGGGGGATTCGATATCCATTTACCATACGTGTGGCAGTACAATGAAAACTTTACCCATTCCGTTTACATGGACAACAACACATGGATGCACAATCAAAAATTCGGTTTTAATGTAGATGGACATTTCGCTGTTGTTAACATCACAAGAAATATTTTCAACGACAATAATTGTGCAAGCGGATTAATATCAATCGGTGGAATGGAAAAGAAACTGTTGATAAGCCATAACAAGTTTACCAACAATAATGGAAAATACATAATTGAGTTCGTATCGAATAGTCAATCTGAAATAATTGGTGAAGTACCAGCAAGATTTATTTTTAACGAGTTAAGAAACAACAAGTATGGAGTAACGGGGCGAAGTTTTGGTATACTGCAACTGAAGAAAAACCCAACAAGTGTAGTGGCTTTTCGAGGAATTCAGAAAGTCAACGTTTATAGAAACCTCTTTTCTGGAAACCAGCTAGATTATCAGTTGATCGCTGGAATTCAAACCGCAAAAATCAATAACTACTTAAACGTACGTGAAAACTGGTGGGGCAGCGGCAACGAAAACGAAATAAAGCAAAAGATCTTCGACTTTGACGATTGGAACAATCACGCAGTCGCAGAATTCAAACCGTATCTTCTAAACGATGACTTCGAATCGAGCTACTCGCCTTCATTTACGACAAACTCTTCTATCGATTTGGACAGCCTTGGAGGTCGATTAACGGCCGATCTAACTCTACATAACAGGGAGTTCCCGTACCTTATTCGTTCAGATATCACAGTCATGCCTAAAGTCACTTTAACAATAGAACCCGGCGTAGTAATGGAGTTTGGACCAAATGTTGGAATTCTTGTTTTGGGTAGCTTAAAAGCTCGGGGTTATGAAGGCAGTGAAATTGTCATGAGACCTATTTCTGTGGCCGGGTATCTAGAATCAGAAAATGACAATCCTATAGTACGGGAAAAAAGACAACTGGAATCTCTCGTCGGAGGGGAAAGTATACGATTATGTAAAGGAAGAAATTGTTACGATGGCGAAGAAAGTACACCTCGTGAAGGTTTCCTCGAATATTTCAACAAAACAACTTTGCAGTGGATTCCGATGTGTGATCCTCGATTCACTGAGAGAAATGCCCAGGTTGTCTGTAGAGAGTTAGGTTTCGATCCATTGAATGCGTTTTTCGACCATGACATTAGAATTGAGTTCCACAGTAATTCTTTGTCACGAATATGGTCATGGCCTGAACCTCTACAGTGCAAAGGAACGGAGAAAAAGTACGAAGATTGTCCTATTAGATTAAATGGTCAACAGTTTGGGCACCGACATCGATGCAAATGGAATTCGAAATTTGTGTTTATCCATTGTGGCCAGAGGAATTTGGAACAGAATTATGAATACTGGGGCGGTATTCGATTTGCCAATCCGGAATTCGAGCAGCAGTTATACGCTTATAGAATCCATGATGTTCAGACGCATTCAACAATGCAAACTGAAGAGTCCGTAATGGAGTACGTCAACATAATAGGGGCAGGAATCTTACATAACGAGAAATCTCCAGGCATCCAGAGCATTATTAAGAGTCCTAAGATAAACTACGTCCATGTCATGCAGAGTGCGTCGCACGGTATCAATTTAATTTCTCCTTCAAATACAATAAACTTGTTGTATAACACCGTCGAGGACTCGCTCGGAGTTGGCATAAATATGTTATCGCTGACCGGCGAAGGCAGGGAATCGCACGAATCGAGTTTTACTCCATTGAAAAGCCTGAATATTCCTTACAACCTGTTTAGTTTGGTCGATATTTGCGACACTCATAAGGAAATCAGAATCGAAGAAAGAATTCTGCTTTACTACAAATACGACAATCATCCAGTCAATTGCATCAAAATTTTCAAAAGCGCCTACAACATCAAACCTTTAGGATTCCGACTGCTGCAATTCAATTTGTTCAATTCGACGCAAGAGTACGGAATCCCCGATTTTATCTCCCTTTATGATGGAGACATTTACAACGTTTCATCAAAATTAATCGAACATATAACCATGAATTCACATAATGAAAAGAAATTGTTCAGAACCAAATTGCCAAGTTTAAGTGTCAAACTTTTTGCAAACGGGGCTTCCTCCAATCATGGATTTATTGCCGAAGTCGTCACGCTACCAATATCGGCGATTGGCTTCAGTAAGTCGAAGGAATAACCGCGTGATGAATAAAAATGTAATTTTCTTTATTTCCAGACCGAGATGTGCAGCACAACATATCTTATTCAGTAGTAAATAAAAATAAAGATGGGGCCATGCTTTACGTGTCGGCAGGTGAAGTCAACCCCATCGTAACCATCGACAAGAATCAATTCAAGCGCAACTGCCAGAAGCTCTACGGTAATTTCACGACCTGTAATGCAGCGGTGGAAATCGATATACAGAACACACAAACTATTTTCTTTAGAGTGAGCGTACTGCGCCATTTAAGAAAAAATCAATAACTTAATCCTATTACAGAACAACTTAGTTGACGGCAACCAAGGAGGTTTATCAATCAAGGCGGATTCACGAGGATCTGCTACTTCTCTCAAGGGTTATATTCACAATAACTTATTCGTTAATAACAGCAACCTGCCTGTTCTGTACGTGGAAGGTCGACAGAGTTCACCCTATCAGGAAGTTGTTATTTACCGTAATTATTTCACAAGAAATGTAGCAAGATATTACAATAACATAGTTCTGAAGCAAGTAGTTTCTAATTTTACGTTGAACTACGTGAAAAGGAATATTGGCATGCAAAATTTGGAAGTGTCGGGATTTGACAAAGTGAGGCTTCCGATTTACCAAACTACTTCCCATAATGGATTTTATCAGTAAGTATGTAAAACGAAGCTTTAAATGAAATTATAATTTGTATCATTTTAGCAATTATGCCGTACATCTCCACAGCCGATCGACTGTCGTTGCGGGAACGGCCGGCCAGCAGTATGTGGATAACATTTTCTTTAACCCAGATAACGATTATGAAATGATAACAGTGAACAGATCCCTGTAAGTACTTTTCATTTTTATTGCAGTCAAATTGAGGTCAACTCTATAATGGGAATCGCTACTGTAGCATTAGGCTAGATCAGTGGTTCGCAAACTTTTATTATTGATGACACCCTAAAATTTTAAACAAAATTTGGCGGCACCCCACCAAGAACAGTTTTAATTGTAACTAATTTATTATCAAAAACACTTTATCACATGTTTGTATAATATGTAATTGATGTTAAGATTGTTTTATAAATATTTGTTAGCCATCTTACTTCAGTATGAAGAAAATTAACATGTTCAGAACACATTTTCCATTACTGAACAGTTGTACCATATTAATAAAATCAGATCATCAATTATTATTTTTAAAGTTGGTTCTGTGCTTATATTTATAAACATCATTACAAAATTTTCGCGGCACCCTCTTGGGGGATCCGCGGCACCCTAGTGTGCCGCGGCACCCAGTTTGCGAACCACTGGGCTAGATAGATAAAACACTATTCTGCTCATTCTTATTGTTCTACTGAGATGTATTGAAGGTTACGTGTCTTCGCATATTTTAGAGGTCAAAATATCTAAGATGGAAATTTAAACATGTTTATTTGTTTATAAGAAAAACCAGTTTTTAGGTCTAGACAAGGAAGTTTTGACTTCACCGATGAACAATTCATTAGGGAAACGGTGATCAAGGTTTAACTGTACGTTTTATTGATGCATTCAAGTGTCTTAAGGTTCTCAAGAATGAGCAGGATTTCGATCGGTAGAGTAGAAATGCACCATCTGAGGCATGCAAGCTAGTACATTAAATCGCATTTAAAATATTTTGTAGTATTTGAAACGAGTAACAAATAATTCATGAAAGCATATCTAAAGGCTGATGACACCTAAATACTTAATTTTTGAGAAGGGGGAAAATTATTATGTTATAAATTCTTTTTCTTTTTTTTTTTTGTTTGAGAGACGGTTTGGATGTTAAATAAACCCTCCTTTTCCTTTTTTGAATTAAGTAAACGTAATAATCGTTATAAATGCAGATAAAGCAATTACCTAGCGTGTTTAATTCAGTATTAGTAAAACAATTTTTACATACTATTTAATGAAAAATGCATATACGGTTATTACTTATCAGTAATAACTTATACTTATACTTATCAGTATAAGTAATAACCGTACATGCAACGTCGAACAAATTATTTTTGAAACTTTTCTGTAAACTTGAATATCTTCCTTCCAATAGTAACACTACTAATAAATAGTAGTATTATACTCCTGCTACGATTTGAAATGCGTTGTTTCAATATTTATTTTGATCTGCAAAAATCATGGAGATAAAATATTTCATGTTTTTGAAAAATACTGAAAAAAGTACCATGGCCGTGACGGAAAATCAAAACGATACCTATTTGTTTTTGTACACCCTGGCTGTGGAAACTGTAGTGATTATTAATTGTGGAACGACGTGCACTTTTAACAACGATTTATTGATTATTATGTACATGTCAATATATATATTATATGATGAAAGTATTTATGTGTTTTTGCGACGCGTGCCCGTTGACGGGTTGTTGGTGACTCTGGTCCGCCACTCGTTCGTCCAGGAGGGCGGTGATGAATCATATTGGGGGTGGTACCGAACACCCGACGAGAGCCGAGCGGCCGAGAACTTCGGGTGGTACCACACATGACTTCCCCTCTTGAAGGTGCGTCCTTCAACATATTACGACTGGCTGGCCTAGAGGGGTAGCCTGGAAAATTGAAAATTGTACCAAAATGTCTAAACGTGAAAAACCCCTATAATAGTCAGTTCGCATCATAAGTAATGTCAAATGATCGCGCACTATGGGTAAAACGCACACTTTACGTAAGGCGCGTTTGGTGAGTCCATGAACAGTTTTGATTGTTACCACCCGCACTACACCGTCGTCGCCTGGATGAAAACCGTGATCCGTCCGGTTTTCCATGTGAGAGGTGGTACATTTTCTTCTGTAATGCTCTTGCTGTTTCTGCCATTTGGATCTTGATTGCAGTTGCGTTAGGTACTCGCGACTCCAGCGTCGCCAAAAATGCGTGCGAATTTTTTCCACCAATTGCCATCGGGACAGTTTATTAATCGGCACCTCCGTCACATCGTATTCTGGAAAGGAAATTAATGGCTCTCCGATGAGGAAGTGACCGGGTGTTAGGATGCTCAGGTCGTTGGGATCGGACAATAAGGGGGTCAAAGGTCTTGAATTTGAACATGCTTCAATGCGTATTAAGAGTGTGGACATTTCGCTAATGTCGGAAAATGCAATGGGTATAATTTTTCTTGGCACTTTAATTTGACGTATATGGTTCAAACTGCTTAAAAAGGTAATCCAAGACGTATATATATCGGGAGGTACTGATTCATCCCAACCCAGTTTCAGCGTCCATAAACGTTGCAAAATTAATTTAGCATGCATTATGATGGGTCCGAGCAACCCTAACGGATCAAATATTTGGGCCGTTACCGAAAGTATGGCACGTTTGGTTACTTTATTAGGTATATTTTTCAGTATAATCTCGTAACTTAAATTATCGACGGTAGGGTTCCAACACAAACCTAAAATTTTTGTAAATTTATCCTTATGCAATTGTACGTTCGAATCATGGAAATTATCATTATTAGATACAACACTTAGTTCGTTTGACTGAAATTTTCGCAGTTCAAATTGACCCTGTTTCAATATGGCCGTTACATCATTTTTTATTTCAGTTAAATCTTCGATCGAGTCAGCCCCGGTTAAAAGGTCGTCCATATAAAAATCTCGACGAATGATTTCGCTCGCGACAGGGTACCTAGCTTGGTTTTGATCAGCTAACTCCTTCAAACACCGCGTGGCAATAAAACTTGCCGGTTTAGTACCATATGTTAGTGTCAAAAGACGATACGTATTTAGGGGTTCGGATGGATGATTCCGCCAAAGAACTAATTGATAATTCGTATCGTTGGGATGTATCTTAATCTGACGATACATTTTCGCTATATCAGCGTTTAACACGTACTGAAATGTTCTAAAGCGTACTATTATTGAAAATAGGTCTTGTTGTAATACCGCCCCAGCTAGCAAATTATCGTTTAGACTTTGTTTGTTTGAAGTTTTTGCCGACGCGTCAAAAACAACTCTTAATTTTGTTGTCGTACTAGACTCCTTTGGCACGGCGTGGTGAGGCAAATAAACGCAATTGTTGTCGTTGGGTGGTTGGCTTAAATATTCCATATGATTTAAATTTTGGTATTCTAACATGAAATCTACATAATTTGTTTTAACGTGTGGGTTTTTGATCAAATTCCTTTCAAGACTGAAAAAGAGTTTGAGAGCTGCATTTCGTGAATTACCAATATTTATTTTGTTATTTTTAATGGGCAACCGTACAATAAATCGCCCGTCATGGTCCCGTTGGACAGTTTCCCGGAAGTGGGTTTCACAAAGAATTTCTTCTTCGTTAGACGCATTCTTATCGTAATCCGCCGTAATTACTGGTTTTTCCAATTCCCAAATCTTTCTTGCCTGTATTTCTAAGCCGGGGTCGGGTCCGGATATGGAAATATTGCATGTTGTAAAATTTGTCGGTAAGTTTATGGTACCGAGAGGGCCTCCCACAATAAACCCTAAATGTGTTTTTTGAAATATTAACCCACTGCCCGGCGAGGACAATTGGCCTATGCAAAGTAAATTCCAAAAAAGGCCGGCTCCTATCAAAAGATCTATTGTACCAGATTCGAAAAACTTGGGATCTGCTAGTTTTATGGTTTTGGGAATTTCCAAAGATGAGGGGTTGATAGACACTACGTCACCTTAGAACTGGTTTGCCGCATATCCAGATCGCGTCCGAGGGATTTTCGCCTCTACTGTTTGCTGCAGATTTGCCGCATGTCGCACTTGGGCGAAGCGAAACATAGTTTAGATTCAGTGCTGATTTGCCGCATGTCCAAGCAGAAATCGATACAGTACCGTTATCCGTTTTTACGTACTTCCTTGCTGTTTTGCTTTTCAGCGTTAGGTTTGGGGTTGGGAAAGAAATCGTATTCAACTTCACGCGCAGAACAATAAGAATAATGTGAAATAAATAAAAAAGAGACTTAACAATTTTGATGAATCTGAAATTAAAAAAAAGCAACTGTAATTTGTGCAACTCTTTTTCTGTTATAGATGTTACAAATATTTTCAAATTATTAGATTCGAAATTTTGCAAATTTAAATTTCAAATAGATTTGTTGTTCGATAAACAAATAATTTAATTTTTTACTAAACAGTAACATTTTTCTTTAATTTTTTCTCGGGAATGATTGAACTTATTTTCTCTAAAGTTTTAGTGAACAAGATTTATAACGCTGCATACCAGTAAAAGAGTTCACAATTTTTTGTAGTATTCTTATTTGTAGAAACGATATTTCTACATCAATAATCACAAATAATAGATACATTTTTAATTTTTTAAATTAAAATGTTGTTTAGGTGGATTTTGCTTCGAAATTTATTACTCGAACGTTTACAAAAATCAGCTTTTGACATAAAATGCTTGCAAATTTGAAACAGAATTGGAATGTTTCTTGACAATCATGCCTAATACATTTTTGACTTGTATCTTTTAAAAAGAATTATTTCCGAATTTATAGCTATTTACAATTTACGACTTACTTCAAGAATAAATTTCGTATTAGAATTTTACCTATAATAATTAAATAGATGTATGTTGTTAACTTACATAAGGTACCTTACATCGAAACGAGTAATTTGTTTTTTAATATGACATTGCCTTTCATTCTATTTGTCTAACAATTATTGTTGTGCAATTATACGCGTGTAAATAAAAATAACTTTACAATAACTTATCTATGGGTAAATTTTTTTACCTATTAATTTAAGTGGATGGTTATATGTAATGGTAATAATAGCCGCATAAAATTCACTCACTGTTTAGGTATACCAGATATCAAAAGCTATTAAATCCAAATGTTATTGTTTATTTTTTTTATGTCTCGAGCG